TGAGTCCCAGTTCTATGGCTCACTTCCTGAGCCTCAGTTTTGTCATCTGTAAAATGGGAGCAGTGACGGTAGTATCTACCTCATCAGGTGGCCACAAGGGGTACAGGTAATGAATGCTTACTTATGCAAGTGCTTAGGCTGAAGCCTGATGAGCGCCCAGAAATTCTTGACTGCTATTAAAAGCCCACTGAGCCAGAGGAGAAAATAGTCCCTTTCAAGCTTCCCTTAGGTGGATTCCAGCCAATGGCAGTCTGGCCGGATGTGGTTTTGGGTTTAATGCCTCATTTAGGTTTCTGGGCACCTGGACGGTTGGTGTGATTTTCCCCGGTCACATTGAGCTTTATCTGGAAAACAAAACCCCTTTCAAGGTCAGAAACACCTGGAGAGCCACTGAGAGAGGTACAGCCAGAGAGAGGTACAATCACAGGCCGCCGTGGATTCAGCTCTCCCCAGCTTCCTGGCTGGAATTACACCCCTCAGGATCTTGCCAACCCAAAGGAAAGGCTGATTTTGGTATAGGGAAAACAACCCACAAAAATACTGTCCCCTGTCACTCGAGGGGGCACATTTCCCTTGCTGGCGAGCAGCTATGGGGTTTTTCTAATCTTGGAGTTAAAAGCCCGTGCAACTTGACCCAGACCTACCTGCCCAGGCTAATCTCTGCCCCTCCCCTTGCCCCCCCTTCCCGCACACACATGTATTTTAACACCCTTGAAACTTTACAACAATTGCTACTACCATTTTCCAGAGAGGTGGGACCATCTCCCTAAGCTCCTGTAGATGGGAAGGGCAGGATCTGGGCTTCTCTGCCGTTTTTCAGCATATCACCATCCCACTGACTGATCCCAACACTATCTGCCCCTCGGGCAGATTAAGGGGTTCATTGTCTTCTTGCACAGATGCAGAAACGGAGGCCCAGAGCAATGGAGCCACTTGCCCCAGGTCCCGCAACTGGGATATGGTGGAGGGGTTGGCTGGTCTCCAACCCCGGCATCCCTGACATGTTTAGTGGGTCGCTGGGCTTAGACGTCCAAAGTAAAAGCCGAGGTCGTACGGCAGTAGCCTGGAAAATCTGCCTAAGTGCCCTTGGCCTGGTTGACAGCTCAGCGGCTTGTGACCCTGAGTGCCCTTGGGCAGGCTCACCCTTTCGGGCTTCCTTTCTGGCCATCAATGGCAGGGTTGGCTATATGCTAGCAAATCACCTTCCAGCCTCAGCCATGCCATGAAACCACATCTATTATTATTTAAGTAAGACTTGACTTTACGTTGACATGCTTTTTTTTTTTTTTTTTTTTTTTTTTTGGAGACGGAGTTTCGCTCTTGTTACCCAGGCTGGAGTGCAATGGCGCGATCTCGGCTCACCGCAACCTCCGCCTCCTGGGTTCAGGCAATTCTCCTGCCTCAGCCTCCTGAGCAGCTGGGACTACAGGCACACGCCACCATGCCCAGCTAATTTTTTGTAGTTTTAGTAGAGACGGGGTTTCACCATGTTGACCAGGATGGTCTTGATCTCTTGACCTTGTGATCCACCCGCCTCGGCCTCCCAAAGTGCTGGGATTACAGGCTTGAGCCACCGCGCCCGGCCAGACATGCTTTTTTATTAAAATACATTTTAATTTCCATTGGAAAACATGCCCCCCCAAAAAAGGAACAAATATAAGCAAAATTAAACCACATTCAACAGATTCTCACTAGAGTCTTGCTATGGACTGAATATTTGTGTCCGCCCAAAATTTATATGTTGAAACCCTGGCTGGGGCAGTGGCTCACACCTGCAATCCCAGCACTTTGGGAGGCCAAGGCTGGCAGATCGAGACCAAACTGGCTAACACAGCGAATCTTCGTCTCTACTAAAAGTACAAAAAAATTAGCTGGGTGTGGTGGCACGTGCCTGTAGTCCCACCTACTTGGGAGGCTAAGGAAGGAGAATTGCTTGAACCTGAAAGGCAGAAGTTGCAGTGAGCTGAGATGGCACCACTGCCCTCCAGCCTGGGCGACAGAGCGAGATTCCGTCTCAAAAAAAAAAAAATTTATATGTTGAAGCCCTAATTCCCAAGGTGATATTAGGAAGTGAGGCCCTTGGGATCTGCTTCAAAGAAACCCAGACCAAGACAGGTAGACCAGGTATACACATGGCAACATGAATCCGTCTAAAACCACGGTGCTTCAGCCCAAAAGTAGGAGGCAGAATGCAATACATAAGATAATACCATCTGCAAGCCTGGCCAATGTAGTGAAACCCCGTCTCTACTAAAAATACAAAAATTAGCCAGGTGTGGTGGCATGCACCTGTAGTCCCAGGTACTGGAAGGCTGAGGCAGGAGAATCGCTTGAAACTGGGAGGCAGAGGTTGCAGTGAGCCGACATGGTGCCACTGCACTCCAGCCTGGGCGACAGAGTGAGATTCAGTCTCAAAAAAAAAAAAAAAAAGATAATACCGTCTGCAGCAATGAGAAATGCATGCATTATAGCACCACACCAATTTTGCAAAAATCTCCACACAAAATGACATACATTAAATAATTAAAACTTCAAAAACAGGGGGGCTGCTATAAACAGCATCTGTGTTGCTTGAGACCAGCCTGGGCAATATAGGGAGATGCTGTTTCCACAAAAAAGAAAAAATATTTCTAATTAGCCACATGTGATGACACGTCTCTGCAAAAAATAAAAATAAAAATTAGCTGGACATGGTGGTGTGCCTCAGCAGTCCCAGCTACTCAGCAGGTAGGAGGATTGCTTGAGCCTAGGAGTTTGAGGCAGCACTGAGCTATGATCATGCCACTGCACTCCAGCTTGGGCAACAGAGCAGGGCCTTTCTCTTTAAAAAGGAAGGAAGGGGCTGGGCGCAGTGGCTCACGCGTGTATTGGGAGGACAGGGCAGGCGGATGACGAGGTCAAGACGTGGAGGCCATCCTGGCCAACATGGTGAAACCCCCCATCTCTACTAAAAATACAAAAATTTAGCTGGGCATGGTGGCACACGCCTGTAGTCCCAGCTACTCAGGAGGCTGAGGCAGGAGAATTGAACCCGGGAGGTGGAGGTTGCAGTGAGCCAAGATCGTGCCACTGCACACCAGCCTGGCGCCTGGAAACAGAGCAAGACTCTGTCTCAAAAAAAAAAAAGGGAAGGAAGGAAGGAAGGAAGAAAGGGCATATGCGTATGAATTTTTAAAAGGTGCCCCATTTGGGTAGAAGCAGAAAGAATGGATAAATGAATGAATGAATGTGCAAATGAACAAACGGAAGTATGAATGAAATATCAGAAGAGCCCTGCATGGACCAGTGAGGATGATGCACCATGTGGAAGGTGGAGGGGCAAATATTCAAAGGTCTGTAAGGGCTTACATTTATTCTAGGATTTGGGGGTTGGACTTCTAGAATTTGTTAGGGCAAAGTAACCCCACGACAAGACCACAGTTATTAGTACCTCCCATTGCATCGCCAGTTATTAGTACCTCCCATTGCATCACCAGTCTCAGGGGGTGCTGATTATCTGTGATCTGATCATAGCACGAGATCCCTGGCTAGGTAGCACCTCTGCCTGCTCGTTTCTCTCCTTGTCCCTGCAGACTCCATCAGCAACCTTGAACACTGACCCCCAGGTCAGCAATACTTCCTAATGTTGAGCAGCGTGCGGGCAGCTCTGGGGCTCTCTCTGACCTGCATCTCGGCCCTCAGCCTCATCTCCCCTGCCTGGTTCCAGACCCCGACCTTCTCCTTTGGCATCCTCACCTACTGCTCCTGGCCTCAGGGCGACAGTTGGAACCAAAGCTGCATGACGTTCAGTTCCCTGGAGGACATTCCTGACTTTGCCTGGAAGGTGAGACCTGGCTCACTGAGTCACTGGGTCTTCAGGGGCTCGGTTAAACTCATCAGGGCAGGAAAGTTGACTGAATGGAATTCAAGGAGGCTTTCCTCACTGCCTGGGTGTCCCAATGCCTACGCATTTGCCATTACTCTCCTTAGAACTGATCACAGAGATTCTTAAACCTGACAGCCCTTCGGAAACACCTGTGGAACTTTGCAAAAATGCCAGGTTCTGTGCTATACTTGGATCCCCTGTCTCTGTAGACGTGGAGTGAGGTCCAGCTGCTGATAATTCAGCAAACACGCAGGATGATTCCAAAGGCAGCTGTCAGTCAATATAGCACCTGCCTGCAATTTAGGAAAAGGCATCCCTTCTTTAGGACGCTCTACTGCCATCTGCTGGAAAGTCACCGTAATCCGTTTGCAAATCTCTGACAGCCCCCAACATGTCTGAGAGTTGTACAGTATGCAACCTGCGCTCTCCTACCTGGCCACCCTCTAAACACTGCTAGGTTTACAAATCAAAGCTGGCCAGGCGTGGTGGCTCACGCCTGTAATCCCAGCATTTTGGGAGGCCGAGGTGGGCAGATCACGAGGTTAGGTGTTTGAGACTATCCTGGCCAACATGGTGAAACCCCATCTCTACTAAAACACAAAAAATTAGCTGGGCATGGTGGTGCATGCCTGTAGCCCAGCTACTCAGGAAACTGAGGCACGGCAATCGCTTGAACCTGGGAGGTGGAGGTTGCAGTGAGCTGAGATGGCACCACTGCACTGCAGCCTGTGTGATAGAGTGAGACTCTGTCAAACAAAGAAAAGAAAGAGGAAGACAGCTAAAGCGTTAAAAGTCCCTGTTATAATGCACGTTGCCAAAACCAACAATGGGAAGAATGAGAGAGGACTCCTCACCTCTAAGGAAGAATATGCAGCCTTCAAAGTTGATGGTTCTAAGGGTGATGTAGCAGCCGCCACCAGGTGCCTCTCCTGATGATCCTCACATGTAGCAATTGCTTAATACAGTTGCCTTGTGCTGGTCAGTCAATGTGGAACTTCATTCTAGCTCCACCACTTAATTAGCCATGACTTGAGGCAAATGACTTCAATTTCTTGCACTTTTATTGGACAATTTATTTTCTTCAACAGTTTCTATGTAAAATGGAGATCATAATAGCACAGACCATGTGGTGATGCTGAGAGGACTCAGAAGCTGGTCAATGAGCAGAGGGAGTGGCCACCTGCCCCTGTCCCAGCCAACAGCCTTCCTTCTATCTCTTCCCTGCAGGTCTCAGCTGTGATGCTCCTTGGAAGCTGGCTCCTGCTGGCCTTCAATGCAATTTTCCTCCTGTCCTGGGCTGTAGCCCCTAAAGGGCTGTGCCCAAGGGGAAGCGGTGGTCCAATGCCGGGGGTGCAGACAGTGGCAGGTAAATCCAATACACAGGCACGTAGTCAGTACTCTAAACATATTCATGGAATGAATGAATGAATGATCTGTGAGCAGAGCCTGGCCTCTTGAGTCCGATCTCAGAGATTAACCTGAGGACTGTTGACTATCCCTGGTCCTTCAGTAAGCCAGAAATCAGGGGGAAGGAGAGATGGCATCTTTAGTGCCACCGATTCCTGCTCGTAGCTGACCCATTCCTAATAATCTGTCCCCCTTCGTTTCTCTCTCATCCATCCACTTCGTGTCATCCTTACCAGGGCCACCAAACACAGTTGAGGATGTTGTGCACTGTGCAAGCATGCCCAGCTGTGAACTGAGAAGATGCCGAAATCTAGCGCATGCTTCGCTTGCTAAACTGTGAACCTGCAAGACTGCATCTCTTGAGAAGTTGAAATTACTTTTCTCTAATTCATACATAGTGTTTGCATGTACTAGCCTGGTCTTCATTGCAATCCTCATTCAATTAATTCTCCACCATCTCTTGCCTGGATTACAGCAATAAGCCCCTCACGGGTCTCACTGTTCCCCCTCAGTGTTGATTTGGCCGCACACTGGACGAACGAGTCCTGTTAAGCCGACATCAGATCGTGCCACCCAGGCTGGCTTCTCCACCCTCCGGTCACTTTCCCATCATACTCAGAGTAAAATCCGAACTGCTTACTGTAGCCTATGAGGCTCCACCTAACCCAGCCCCCGATCCCTTACCAACCTCATCTCTTTCTTCCTCTTCCAGTCTCAGTGTGCTCTGGTTACTCTGATTTGCAGTTTGTTGCTCATAAACACCACACTTGCTCCCTCTGCTGGACCCCTCTTTCCCCAGATTTTCACAGGTCTTGCTACTGATTTCATTATGGGCTCTGCTTAGATACCACCGCCTCCAAGAGGTCTTCCATGACTTATAACTAAGGGAGCTTCCCTCTCCTTTGATTCTCCATCTTACTTTGCTTTATATTTTTCTTTTCTCTTTTTTGAGACGGAGTCTTGCTCTGTCGCCCACGCTGGAGTGCCGTGATGCGATCTTGGCTCACTGTAGCCTCCGCCTCCTGGGTTCAAGCAATTCCCCTGCCTCAACCTCCTGAGTAGCTGAGATTACAGGTACGCACCATCACGCCCGGCTAACTTTTTGTATTTTAGTAGAGATGGGGTTTCACCATGTTGGCCAAAATGGTCTCAAGCTCCTGACCTTGTGATCTGCCCCCGTCGGCCTCCCAAAGTGTTGGGATTACAGGTGTGAGCCACCGCGCCTGGCCTATATTTTTCATAACCTATGCTTACCTGAAATATCTAATCTGCCTACTTGATTATTGTCCCTCCTTCTCCAAAGAACATTAGCTTCATGAGGACAAGGACATGTCTGTCTGTATTGTTATCACCAGCCCCTAGCACAGTGCTTTACATGTAATAGGTGCACAATAAACCTTTGCTGAATCAACTGATGAAGACATGATTCTTGTCCTAGGCTTGCTTGCAGTGTCTAGTTGGTGGGGCGTTGAAGGGCATCAGAGTTGTGTTTTACGTGATGGAGATGAGCAAAGGATGCTGGGAAAAACTCCAGGAAGCACCTGACCCAGTGTATGGATGGGCCCAGTGTAAGGATGGGTTAAGGCAAGCTTCTTGGAGGAGGTGCTACTTGAGCTGAGTCTGGAAGGATGAGCAGCAGTTAGCCAAGAGTACGAGGTCATTTCTGGTAATGGGAACACGAAGGACAAAGGCATGGAGACAAGAGAGCAAGGCATGTGCAGGAAACTGAAAGTAGACAAGGGTGGCTGGAGAGCAGCAAGGGAGGCCAGGGGATCTTCTGATTTCTGTTATGAGTGCCCTGGAAGCAAGAAGGTATCCAGTCATTTCGTTGGTATCGTTAAAGTCCACTGCAGCCCCTCTAACAGTTAGGTGAGATTTTGACTAATGAACATGTGGTTGGGTGGGTAAGCTGCTGAATGGATGAATGAGTGTGTTGGTAAGTGGATGGATGAACTGATGGATGCATAGATGGATATATTAGCGGATGGATGGATGGGTGGATGGATGGATGGATGGGTGGATGGATGGGTGAATGGATGGGTGGATGGATGGGTGGATGAATGGATGGATGGGTGGATGGATGGATGGATGGGTGGATGGGTGGATGGATGGATGGGTGGATGGGTGGATAGATGGAAGGATGGACGGATGGTTGTATGGATGGATGTGTGGGTGGATGGATGGATGGATGGATGGGTGGATGGATGGATGGATGAATGGATGGATGAATGGATGGGTGGATGGATGGATGAATGCATGGATGGATGGAAGGATAGGAAAAAGGGATAGAATGGAATATAGTTGGATTGATGTAGGATGAGGGATGGGTGGATGGATGGATGGTTGGAGGGCAGGTGGCAAGCAGGCAGATGGACAGATGGATGGGTGAGCAAATACATAGGTGCACAGAAGGATAGAGAGAATAAGTGGAGATGAACATGGTTGAGTGGATAGATGAGCAGATGGAAAGAAGAGTGGAGGTGTAGCTGAGTGAGTGGGTGTAGTTGGTGCAGTTGAGTGAGTGGGTGTAGTTGGTGCAGTTGAGTGAGTGGGTGTAG